TAGTAACACATACATATATATGGTTTTTTGATTTTGACTTGACCACCACATCCATATCATTCTTCCACATCATTAACAGTCCATCAAGCCTGCCTACGGATCCAACTCCTCGGCCTTTCTCCCAACCTAACTCTTTCATGGTCTCTTCCCATTCATGACTCTACTTTTTCTTCTTCATTAAAAAGACAATGTCGGGGTTTTGACGTTGGAGCAATTGCCCCACCTTTCTAATTTCCAGGGGATTCCCCAACCCCCGACAATTATAGCTCAAGATATTCATTGGGCTGGGCGGCTCTGGTGCTCGCTAGAGACTGCCTAATCACCAACCATTTTTGTTTGATCCAACAGAATTCTCTTATCATCAGCCTCAGTCTGGGTCGACCCCAGTATTATCATCTTTCCTTCTTTTTCTATCACAGCTCGTTTAGCCCCCTCTTTGTCCTTTAGCTCCACTGCCACTGCTTCAATCTGTCTCTTCTGGTGGGTCACATGAGTAGGAGGTTCTTTGGAATTGTTTCGCTTGACCTGAGAAAGTCTGGTCCATCTTCCTTTCCTACACGATTTATCACTATCCTTGTCTCCAATACCCATATTAAAGATAACGTTCTTTTCCAATAAAGCAGCAAGGGCCCTCTCTCTTGCTAACTCCTCTGTCTCTTCCTCATGTGCTTTTTCTCGAACATTCGCATATCAACCTCACCCCCATTCTCCCGGGATTCAGCTAATACCTCCGACCCATCCTTTGCTCCCTCCTGGCCTTCTTCATTGTCTCTCCTGGTATCACTCTCTGTTGCTTTGCTGTCAGTCACCAGATGTCGAAACTTACCCCTGTCGTACTGTTCTTTGATAGACTTCCAAATCAGAGCACTCTTCTCCTGCTCCACTTTTATTTATCCTTGACTTTGGCGGGGGAGGGCTCGCTCTAAGCCAGGGGCATAGCGATCCCTGATATCATCAATCTTTTTCACATAATAGAGTTTAGGATGACCGATCTTACCACACTTAAAACAGAAAAGTGGCAATTGCTCATATTTAACCTAGAAACTTCAAATTTGTCCTCTTATTGACAGGTTCAGATCATCTCACAGGGAAGTCGTGATATCCTTTGCTACTCTTAGTCGCATAAAATCACTCCAAGGATCATAATTCTTCTCATCAAGCAGTAAGAATCGGCCAAACCATGGAGCAACTTTCTCAGCCATCTTCCGCCTGCTCAAAGATTAACAGATTATTGTCGTAAAGCCAGGGACCTCAATGGAGAGCTTTGTTCCTGTCATCTATGTGGGAAAATTGAAAAGCAAAGAGTTGGCCTTCAATATCTCTAATCTCAAACGGTTTGATGGTGTGCCAAACTTTTTCCAAGACCCCTTGGAGAGCTTTGATATTAGGTTTCCTGGATGACACCAGACGTGCCACCAAACCCAATCTCCATACAGCTTCACAGATCTCGTCCAACATATTTTCTGTTTCTACCACAAGCACTGCGTCTTCATCCTCAGCAAGGATGACTCATTTGAGTTCTACTGCCAGCTCGTCAGGTTCACCCGTGATCATAGTCGTGTTTTCCACGTTAGGATTAGGATTAGGGTTATCCTTTTCCTCTGTCTACCTTGAATCAACTTTAGATGTCGCCGTCTCCATCGCTATTCCTTCAGACTCCGAATACAGTTCTTGTCTCCCTAAAAAACTCGAAATAGTACAGCTAGTTGTAACTCTCTTAGGAACAAAGTTGGATTCACCACCAAGGATTTATAGACTTTTCAGTCGCCGTCCACACCCAAACCACGTTTCAGCAGGTTAAAGATCTCTTAAAGGACTCCGTTTCCAAAAGGAACAGGGGTTCAAACTTCGGAACGATTTTAAAACAAAGGAAAAGATCAACAAAACTGCTATCCGGACGATCAAAGGACCTCCAAAACAAGGGAAATCAAGCACTATAACGAGTGAGGCCCCTAAAAACCCTATACTAAACTCTCGCAGCTCGAGAGAAGATTTTTTTGGAGCTTTTTTATCATAATATAAGTTAAGATAAGATTTGTGGCTAATCATCCTTGTTTTTTTAGGTTAGTGGAACTTGAAGTGATTTTACGATTCCATGTCATTGTATTAATATAATCGAATGAGTTTTTAATTTTTATCCATATATCATTTTCTTCTTTATTACTAATCTTTGATCTAAACTCCAAGCATTCGCCGATATTTAGGTCATGATTCACGGGGAAAGACAAGAAATTGCTCTTGATTCTTAGATCACCATAATAAAAAGGCAAAATACATATGTATAGCCAAAAATTTCACCTTTGTGACAATAATAGCCACTTTTGAAGAAATACACAAAATAGCCACAATTTGAATTATCGTATGACAAATCTAGCCACTTCCGTTACAAACTTTAACAGTGTTAGTGTGACCGTCAGTTATCTAAACGAAACGCTGACTAAGATGCCAACTCAGCGCCCACCTCAACAACAACTCAGTCATTAATGACACGTAGATGACACGTGTCATTTAATTAATATATAAAGTATTTTCATAAAAAAATTAATGTTAATTATAAAAATAAAATTATTAATAATTAATATTTTTCTCCCAAGATTGTCTTTCCTTTCCTTTTCTTTCGTATCTCTGCGGGGATCTGTTCTTCCCAAAAAAATCAAGTTCTACAGCCCTCCATAACTTTCCAAACCCAAACAAAAACAAAATCTCTGTATCAATCTCTAGTCTCTAGACATCAATCCCGTAAGAACATCATAAATCAAAACAAAAAGAATCTCATCAAACACACCGGCGAACTCTTCTCCAACATCCGTCGTCTTGCTGGTGAAACCGGATCCGTCGCGCCTTATGGTCGTGTCGAAGCAGATGAGGTGCTCGATTCTCCTTCCTTGTCGTGTCGCTCAATTCTCCTTCGTTGTTGTCTGTCTAGGCCCTGGATTTGAGACATCGAGGAAGAATAACGACCTGCGGCGTTGAGGGAGAGATGCGGCGGTGCGGGATGGATGGCGAGAGGACAAACTAAGGGTGGAATAGGGATTTCTAGGCGGCGAGTGAGTAGATCGGAGGAGTGCGGTGGTAATATGAGTAGAGGTGGCAATTTCAATCCAATCCACCAATCCAATCCATCAATCCATTAAAAATATCCACCTAATCCAATCCATTTAAATCCAATCCATTTGATCCAAATCCAATTGGATTGGTGGATTAATGGATTGGATCCATGGATCATTGGCAAATTACGGTTTAGTACCTATAATTTTTATTTTTTACATTTTGGTACCTAAAATTTAATTTTTTATACGAAAATATCATTGGAAAATTACGTTTTGGTACCTAAAATTTTTCATTGTGACATTTTAGTACCTAAACTTTTTACATTTTACATATTGGTCCTTGGTTGAGGATGTAATTTGGATACATGGATAATCCACCAATCCACTTGATCCAATCCATGAATCCACCAATCCATTAGATCCAATCCATTTGATCCATGGATCCACCAATCCAATCCACCAATCCAATCCATTTGCCACCTCTATATATGAGAGAAGGTGCAGTGGTTATTGTCGACCGGGAAGGAAAGGAAGGCTCGCCGTTCGTCATGGTCAGGAGCCGAGCAGTTGATATTGATTTCGCCGTTCCTCCTCGACCGCAAATCCCTAATCCCTCCTCTGCAGCAGTTCGTCGCTTTCGATTCCACCCATCCCTATTTCCTCCTCCACCAAAAATCCCTAATCTCTGGGTTGTCAGAGTTCGTCGACCCAACGCAACTAGTCGCAACCAAACCAAGACATCTACTGGTCGAAGAGGGATCAGAGAAAGATGAGGGAGAAGATTAAGAGAGAGCAGCGGAGAAGATGGGATTAGAGATTATGATGGAGATTAAGAAGGAATAAGGGATACAGGGGGATTTTATTTTCTTTTATTTTTTGTATGCTTTCTTTTTTCTTTGTGTATTTTATTTTTTATTTTTTAAAGTTAAATCCACATCGCAATGTACCGACGCCACGTCAGCGTTTCTGTTAGTCTAGTCATCGTGTTAGATGACACCATTAAAGTATTAGACGGAATTGGCTATTTTGTGTATTTTTTCAAAATTGGCTATTATTGGCAAAAACAAGAAAGTTATGGCCATACAAGTGTATTTTGCCTAATAAAAAACTACACATCTATTTTAGTAGGTAGATTATTAATGTAATTTGGTTCTTGACCGTTTAGATTGTGGAACAGAGGACATCGAATACAATCTAACTAAATTACAACAACCCAGAAATCAGGTATAATACCTTAGGAATTGGGAGAGGTCAATTCAGCGAAATTATAACACTGAAAATTCTAGGATGTAAGTGATTTGAACATGATTTAGGGCTCTTGTAGGAGTAAAGTAAGGAAGAAGTCTCCAGTCTCCACCCACCAAAGTTAGTCCTAGGTACTTGTCGCTAGTTAAGGTTCTTTTTGAACATGATGTTAAGGGCTCTTGTGATTTGTTGGATTACAACAGAGAAGGCACTTAATTAGTTGGACTAGCAAGTTAGTTTAGTCAAGCTTGCTCAGGATTATGTCGTTGGTGGTGTACATTAATCACTTCATTACCTTAATTAATACCTACCTACAAGGCATATTGACGGTATGAGATTCTGTGACAAACCCTAAGAAGGTTATCATTTTCACAATTCACCTCTGGTAGCATACCACTCATTCTGGTAACGAGGAAAATGACAACTCCTTAGAAATTGTCACCGAATCTCATCTCTTAATTTCATTCTTACATTAAGTTTTTTGCATTGCATCGATTGTAATTAAGCATAAATTACTAATAGAGAAATGAAAGCTCTTCAGCTGTTATTTTCTTTGGAATTATAGACTAAACTAATATCACTAAAATTAAGCAGAAATTATTGGGTCATAATCCGCTTCTCTATGATCGCCAATTCCATATTGTTATTCTCCATTTCTCTCCTATAAACACCACTTCACAAATCTCTTTCTTCCTTAACAGTTAACGCATTCTCTCCAAAACCTCTCTCTCTCTAAAAAGTAAAAACCAAATGGCAATCCAACTCTCCTTTCTTCTTCTCTTAGCTCTCCTCCAATTCCCAACCCACATTTCCACTTACCCTGTTTCAGATCCTGATGCAGTTGCAGAAGAGGTAAACAGGTACAACTTCACCCTTCCACCCGCTCTAATTTATCACATTGCAAATGAAAATCGAGTTCGCAACACTTGAATTCAGTCTTGAGAAGTATAGAAAACATTTCATCGATAATATGCAGTACTTTAAATGGTGTCTCTTTTCATCATTTTGCATATAGTAATATGTTCGTCATTTTGTAACAATCAAATGTTTTACATGTGTGTACCACTTACGCAACACCCTTTTAGATTATGTTTGATTCACAACTTCTCCTGTTGTGAATCAAATATTTAAAAAAAAAAACAAAGTGTATAATTTGTTGCCTTAATAGTGTTAATTATGTCCGCTTACGATTGTTCATTAGGTATAAGTTTTCTTGAAGACCTTAGGTAAAAGTTAGCTCCATTACTAGTGAATAATTTCTAGCTTAATGGTACAACAAGAAGTTAGTAGTTTAAGGTTAGGTTTCGGGTTCCTTTGGTCTCTCTACTAAGAACTAGTTCTAGGTTACTAAATATTCCGTTTAGTGTGTATATATGAATATATGTGTTATATGCATTTAAAATTTTCGTTTATGTATAATTTTCAAAAAAAAAATTATCCATTTGATGGTTCCCGTACTAAACACATATTAAATTCAGATAATGCATTTAATACAAATATTTAATTAAAATTGATAGTTTAAATATTTTATTTATTTATTTCTAAAATCATTAATTTAACATATTTCATTACTTTAATATACCATTAGGTGTACCATTAGTTTAGAAATGAAGTAAAATACTCACACGTCTTTTATACGGAACGTACTAGTAGTAATCTAATTCATTTTTAATTTATTTCTCAGGAGCATAAGAAATGCGACGGATGCAATGAGGGATTCGGGATTCCGCTCCTGCAAAACAGGCAACCCAATCGACGACTGTTGGAGATGCGACCCATTGTGGTACAAGAAGCGCAAACACCTCGCTAACTGCGCGATCGGGTTCGGCAAACAAGCCACCGGCGGGAAATACGGCAGGTTCTATGTTGTGACCGACTCGACCGACAACCCGGCTAACCCGAAACCAGGAACCCTACGTTATGCCACGATCCAGAAACGACCACTCTGGATCGCGTTCTCCAGGGACATGGTGATCACACTGAGAGCCGAGCTGATGGTGAGCTCGTTCAAGACGATCGACGGTAGGGGAAGCTCCGTGCACATATCTGGAGGCCCATGCATCACGATTCAATTCGTGAGCCATGTCATCATCCATGGGCTTCATATCCACGATTGCAGGTAAAGGTGGCAATTTATAATCCATACCACCAATCCAATTCATCCACTTAAATATCCAACTAATCCAATCCATTTATATTTAATTCATTCTATCCAAATCCAATTGAATTGTTGGATTCATGGATCGTTGGCAAATTATAGTTTGGTATCTATATTTTTTATATTTTACAACTTGATACCTAAAATTTAATCTTTTATATGAAAAATATCATTGGAAATTCACGTTTTGTACATAAAATTTCTTGTTATGACATTTTAGTACCTAAACTTTTCAAAACATACATATTGGTCCAAGGCTTGGATCGGATGTCATTTGTATTCATGGATCGATCCACCAATCCATATGATTCAATCCATGAATCTACCAATCCCTTTCATCCATGGATCTACCAATCCAATTCACCAAACCATGGATCCAATCCATTTGTCACCTCTAATTGCAGGAGAGGGAGGAGGAGTCTCCTCGACGGCACTAGAGGTTCTTCTTCCGACGTCCCAGATGCGTTGGGGGAGGTTTTGGATGGGGACGGTATCTCTGTGTTCGGGTCGACGCACGTCTGGATCGACCACTGCTCGTTGTCCAACTGCGCCGATGGGTTAATCGACGTGACTTATGGGTCGACGGCGATCACAGTTTCGAATAACTACATGACGCATCATGATGAGGTGATGCTCTTAGGGCATAGCGACGGGTTTGTTCGGGATAAGGGCATGCAGGTTACAGTCGCATTTAATCATTTTGGTGAAGGGCTGATCCAGAGGATGCCGAGGTACGTTCAAACTGAACTTGTAGTTTCAACGTTATGGTACAAATTTAATTTATATACAGGGGTAGACCCAAGTAGATGAATCGGTTGTCAACCAACAAACTTCATCATATAAAAACTTTGGGTATAAAGCAATGTTATTAAAGCCAAGCCGAGTCGGCCGGTCGGACTGCTAAAATCGCCATCCAACCTCAAAATCGTCTCAGCACAGTCATTTAGCCGGAACGGCTTTCTGTAGTGATCGGCGAGCGGCCGAGGCGGTTAACCGCTCGAGCCGATCGATCGACTATTGCCTTTTCGGCCGTTTGGTTTAATTAAAAAAACGTCCGGGTATCTGAACTGAGAGAGGAGAGCGTCGAATCCCTTAGCCAATCCATGTCGGTGTCGCCATTCCCCGTCCCCACTTCCCGTCGTCGTCGCCACTCCCCGTCCCCGCTTTCGTCGCCGTCGCCTGTTTCGTAGCCGCTCCCCACTTGTCGCTTTGGCCAGCTCTTCATGAATTTGGGCATTTGGCCATTTGGGAATTAAGAGACGAGTGAGAGATGAAAGAAATTGAAAAAAAAAAGAGAGGGAAGAGCGGCATTGTCGCTGGGATGGGTGGGGAGTGGGAAAAGTTAATCTGCTAAAGATTCGTTAGCAGATACTAACTGATATCCAAAATACATGAACTAGTATCCAAGTACTAAAGTATCTAGAGAGCACAGACTAGTATTCAAAGTTTGCTAATTTATATCCATCATGAATCAACTATTATCCAAAATTCACAAAATAATATCTAGACAACACATAATAGTATCCATACAGCACATAGTATACAGATAACACATAAGAGTATCCGTATTGAATACTAGTTGGTTGATTGTGGATATTAGTTGGTATCTGCTAACTAGATACTAGTTTGTGATGTTTTGAATATTAGTCTGTGCTATCTAGATACTCAGCAGACTTGGGTATTAGTTCATACATTTTGGATATTAGTTAGTATATACTAACGAATCTTCAAGTTAGCAGAATAACTAGGCTGGTGGGGAGTGGGGTTAGGGTTTGTTTTTATAACTTTATATATATAAATGGTAAAATTACTAAGTGGTACCTGAAAACTAAATTTTAATTTAGTCATTAAATTTCTACCTTATGTGTCTTCTAGTTATGATATTATTATTTATAAGGTACTGGTTTTCTAATGGTCAAATACTGATTGGACCATTAAAGTGTGAGTCATTCACGCTACCGGGCCATGCTTCGGCTCGTATCTGACAACATTGGTAAAAAAAATTTGTACACAAATTTATTTAGGTGATGATAGTATTTGAATTCTAGATTATTTGAGAACCCTTGAGGATTATGTTTTAATGTTGAATACCCTTAATTAAATTTTTGGGTTCGGCGCTCCTGCTTGTACCTATATATTTTCGTACAATTTTTTTATAATGCAAACTGAATTTGTACATTTAACGTTGTGGTGCAATTCAATGTGCACCTATATACATGTTCATACAAATTTTTTTATGGTACAAACTAAACTTGTCCATTCAATATTAGTACAAATTCAATTTTTACATGAAACATCAATGCTTATGAAGATTGTAAAATTGAATATTTGGTTATTTGTTGGTGAATGGTTGGCATATATAGGTGTAGACATGGGTACTTCCACGTGGTGAACAATGACTATACTCATTGGCTAAAGTACGCAATTGGAGGCAGCGCTGCTCCCACGATCAACAGTCAAGGGAACCGATTTCTGGCCTCCAACAACATATTCACTAAAGAGGTAAAAGAGTAGTGATGGCAATTTGAACTCGTCTCGTGGATATTATTCGATTTAATTCGTGATGGGACGGGTATTAGCGAATTCGCTGTAACATGGGGCGGGGCATGGGTATCTACTTCCTATTCGTCCCGCCTCATTCTTGGCATATTTATCTTATTTTGATTTTTCTTCAACTAGTTAGAGTCAATATTTCAACTGGTTAGACTCAATTATCCATCCTATTATTATTTTCATTCATAAAGTGTTTTCTCTTTCGTTTTATCGTAAAAAGTAAAATTTGAGTGTGTTTTTTTCAAATAACATGTAAGAGTAGGTCGACTCCCCCTCCCCGTACCAGCGCGGGTTTTACTCGTCCCGACCTGTAGTAGCGTGGGACGGGTATGGGTATTGAGGTACCCGCCCGCTCCGTCCCATTTCCATCACTATAAAAGAGTAGTCCCGACATAGTATGGTTTTGTTACAACTCGATTTATTGATATCAACGTATTCGTCGCGCAGGTAACGAGACGTGCTGGTGCACCGGAAAGTGAGTGGAAGAAATGGAACTGGAGGTCGCAAGGAGATATGTTTCTGAACGGCGCCTTCTTCAGAATTTCGGGCAGTAGAGCAGCTTCGAGCTACGTCAAGGCGACGAGCATGGCGGCTAAGTCGTCGAGGATGGTCGCTTCCATGACTGCCGGTGCTGGTGCGCTGGTCTGCAGGCGAGGTCTAGCCTGCTGATATACTAGCGAGTACTGATTAGAAAGAACGAAGATGATGGTGAAAAGGGAAGAATGTCCCTGACAGAGAAATCGGGTTCACTTTGTTGGTCAATAGAATAGCCGACGGTTGGATCCTGTTGATGATGATGATGTTACGTGAAAATAGAAGGAGATAAATAAGAGAAAGAGAAAAAGCAGTCTGCCCTCTTCAATCTCCACTAATATTTGTTGAGCCAAGAAAGGGGAACGTTGTTACTCGTTAACCCGCGGGTCAACCTGTCGTCGGTTGACCTATTTTGACCCTGACTCTTTAAGAATAACGCGTCATACACATTCATCGACTCGACCAATCTGCTGTGAGGTATCGCGTTGGCGTTAAATGATGTCGTTTTTTTTTGTTTGTAAAATACACCTATTTTTCAGTCTTCTTTTTAGCCTAATCCAATCTTTGGAATTCTAAATTGAATATTTGATTATTTATGTTATATAAGTGTGTTAGTGTGTGTGAAATTTCACTATATATGTTGTATCCAAGTACAACATGTTATTTTGTAATGTTATATGCTATAACTCATATTATATGAGAATTTAGATGTAGTGAAGCTTAATGATCAATGGCTAATTTCTATTAAGTGCGTAAAATTCTGACATTTTCCCACAAATTGAGCCACAACCTGTCGAAGAAAACACAAATTGATAGTCGCTAAAGCATACAAAGAAATGCACACTCTAACACTCAGTAATCAAGTCTTGATATGTGAAAAGAGGATCTTGTACCATGTTAAAATTAGTGTTTATGAAATTGTACCCGGAAAACTATTCTATCGAAGTTAGAATCAGTAGATGATTTTTCACTATATGAAACCGTCAAGAACCACAATTTTAGTACACAATATCCTGTTATTGTATTTTCTAGTACACTTATGGTTCGATTTTACAATTCTTGATTAAAGTCACAATAACAAGAGATAGAAACCACAAAAGACAAAAAAATTTACATGTTTTCTCCAACAATAACCATTAGGACTAGTCCATGATGCAAGGCATGTCTCCTTGTTCACCCGAAATCTCACACACTACACAAACACAGCACGTCAACTTATATATATACAACCCACCTCCTCTAACCCTACCACAAAGAGTGCAGGTAATTAACCTTAATGATCAGTGGCTAATTACCTAGAAGAGGTTATTTATGCATTGGAAATAATTATCAATAAGATCGTGTACATCTTTTTTAAGCTATTAATCCAATGTGTATCAATGGCAACTATGAGAAGATTTTCTTTCATATTGTCTGGTCGTCAGTTCTATGGTTACATCAATACCTACTACAGAGTTACTGTCGCAGTAAATGTAGAGAAGTAATTAGTCGTACTTCCTACCCATAATTCCAATATCTAGCCAATAGGTTTGGTGTAGATGGTAGGTGAAGGCGCATTGATCGACAATGGAGATGGTGAAGAAACCAAAAGGAAGCCAAGAGCATTTGTCGGTCAGTCCTGTCTGAACTCCACCCGATTGCCAAAACCAAGTTGTGAGTGGAATTCAGTGCCCGATCTATCCCTCATCTGACACTTAATGCACTATGCTGATTTCTATCACTTCCTCAGAAAGAAAGTTAATAGCGGAAATGCGAGGAACATTTAATGGCAGGCAGAGGAGTTGGAGGCTTTTATGATTTATCTATCTAATGAATGAAATGAGATTACATTACTTGTAAAATGGGTAAATACCATTGTTTGGTCATTGGATTTACTAAAACGTGTCATGTTTAGTTACTAATAAAAAAAAATTTAATATCAATGTTGGTCATTCAAATTAGTAAAATGGTCCATGTTTAGTCCCTTTCTATTAGTCTCCGTTAGCACTGTCAGTCAACTGTTTAAGTGGCTAACAGAAGTGCTGACTCACCCTTTCTTAACCTACCACATCACCAAACCCGACCCGCCACGTCACTCATCCCGCCATATCATATTTTCCAACCCAATCCTTAAAAACCCAACCAACCTATGAGCCGACCTCTCTATCCCAATCCTTAACGGAGAGCGACCAAACGTGGATCATTTTATTCATTCGAGTGACCAACATTGATATTAATTTTTTCCCAGTAATTAACATGATACGTTTTGATAAACCCAGTGACATTTAATCTGTTAAAATATCATGCGTTTTGAAGATTACATTAATGATCGGGTTCCGTAGATGAAACTAACAAACCAAACTTGCCACAAAAATGGAGCAAATAGCTAAAGCAAGAATTATTTAAGAGGTTGTTTTGGTTTAGAAATTTGGTTAGGAGGAATTTGTGAGAGATTGTGGTCCAAATACCTCATTCAAAAATCCAGATAATTAGAACTAGGAAATTTAATAAATCACTTGTTTGATAATGGATCCAGAATTGTTTAATTAGTTATTTCAATTTTAATGTTAAACTTAAAATTACAAATTAGCCATTATCTATGTCTTCTTCGCAGACCTACCAATCTTGAAAAACGGAATTGGGGTAAATGACACATTTGGTCACTGAGATTACTAAATCGTGTCATATTTAGTCACTCGAAAAATATAATATCAATTTTGGTCACTCGAATTACTGACACAGGTCACATTTGGTCACTCTTCTGTTCAACTCTGGTCACTCGAATTATTGAAAAATGTCACATTTAGTCACTCGTATTACTGAAACATGTCACATTTAGTCACTCTCCCAAAAGTTTCCGTCCAACTACATTAATGGAGTTGGACGGAAACTGACGGGAGAGTGACTAAATTTGACCAGTTTTGGTAATTCGAGTGACCAAAATTGATATTAATTTTTTCTAGTGACTAAACATGACACAATTTAATAATCTTAGTGACCAAATGTGTTATTTACCCAACGGAATTGGATCTAGAAAGAACAATAATCACCTCACTCTGCTTTCTTCTTTTCTAATGCAATATTTCAATTCCCAGTTTTCCAATGATAAACGCGGTGGATTCAGCCCTGGACCCGCTGTTTTTCAACTATGTCAGCTGCGGAGTATCCGACATCATCAATAACCTCTGGACTTGGGTCGTCGTCCTCATTGCGGCTGTCAGCCTTTTGAGCATCAGAACCGCCGCCGTCTCACCCTTCAAGTCCCCGGTCCTGGGTTTTTCCTAATTCATCGCAACCCCAGGAGCGACTGGTATCTGAATTCAGAGTCGGTCGGCGATGTAAAGGATGGCGGCACAGACCCCGGCGGGTACTCCGAGGACGCCGACTTCGAGTCCGATCATCTGCGACGGCGACGACGTGGTCATGAAGGAAAAGTTCGTGGCGTATTACTGGGAAGAGCCACCGGTGGTCGAGGAGGAGAAGCAGGATGACGACGTTGAAGGCGACGCCGGGGAGGCAAACGGCGTCGGAGCTGGAAAATTTCGCTGCATAGCCGGCGATTGAAAATTCGCAGCATATCCAAATGGTAGAGATAAGGATGAGAGGTTTGAACTGATCGATGAATAAATATAAGGGGTATATTGGAAAGGTTGGGAGAAAATAAGTAGAGATTTTGAAATAGTGGGTTTTTTTTTTTTTGGACAAAGGACTCTGCAGTAAAACCTAATAGAACAACCAAAGATTACAAAACGGGGGACAAAACATTAAGGATGGTGATCCAATCGGCCGGAAGCTGGTTCTTTGCGGAAGAACGAGCAATCCAGTCAGCTTGAACATTGTTTGACCGACGAACAAAGGCGATTCCGACGTTTGGGGATCGTCAGAGGAAAGAGGAAACAACATCAAATATTTCCGCGATTTCCCACGGCCACAACTTCCTCATTCCTCCGTTTGCGTCAACCAAAACGTTTGGGGATCGTCTCCTTGGCCAGAACACAACCTTCCTGTAATGTCCTCGCTTCTACTTCCAAGGTTGAGTTGTAGAGTAGGGAACCGGCCTCTCCGTCACAAATCTTGCCATGGTTGTTAGTAACGATAAAACCATAAGCCGCCTTCTGGGAATCGCAAAAAAAGGATCCATCACAGTGAATCTCGAGCTCGAGATTGCCTGGTGGTGGGGATGGATGTGAAGGAGGTGGGATGGGTCGATTAGAAGAACTGGTCCCTTCTTTCCTCTTTTGAGGGCATATTTTCCATTGGTTGATTTCATGGAGCGTTTAGCTAAAGTGTGTGGGGACTAAGGGGGTGTTCTTGAAAATCTTCTCGTTTCTTGTCTTCCACAGATTCCATAGGTGAAAAGTAAATGCTTGGGGGGCATCCTGGTTTAGTATCTTCTCCACCTCTCTCATCCAGTCGACAATCATCAGGGAGGGAGGAGGGAGAGAAATCTCCGGAGCAAACTGCATCCATGAGTCTCTAGCGTGTGGACATCTGAACAAGACATGATGAATGGTTTCATCAATCTGAAGACACACAGGGCATTCCGGAGATGGGGCGCAATGACAGGAGAACATTTTATGCCTGGTGGTCAAAGCACCCCCTAGATGCCTTATAGATGAAAATTTTGAGCTTCGGAGGCAACGAAAGGCTTCAGAGCCATTTCCACATTTTCTTTTCTTCCATGGAGAACCCATTATGAACCGAACTCCCAAACAGAGAACGATCATGAAAGGCATGGAAAGCATAGCTCATTGAGAACTCTCCATTTGTCGTGAACCACCATGCCCAGAAATCCTCCATATCCGGAGACCCAATGAGGATCTGGCCAATTGCTTGTAAATCCTCTCTAGAGATGAGACCATCAAAAGTTGAAAAATCCCACGATCGACTAGTCTGATCAATGAGTTCAAAAACAGACCTGAGATCCTCAACAGAACCGTGAATGCAGCCTCCAGACTTTGTTGGGATCCAAGGATCCTGAAAGACCTTTGTCGAACGTCCATTGCCAATGACACGAACAACTCCTAAACTCATCCAACAAGAGACATCAAACAGGCTTGCCCAAATCCAGGAGGCCCTACTCCCTTTGAGCCTCGCGAAAGCCATAATTTGAAAAGTAAAGCCCTTTTAGAAGGCTAACCCAAAGTGCATATGGAGAGAATAGGATACGCCAGGCTTGCTTTGCAAGCAAAGCAAGGTTGTAGATGTGAAAATGTCGGAAACCAATACCTCCCTCCTCCTTTGGTGCGCCCGCCGATGGATGGTCTTTTTTGAAGTGGATCCTGACCAATAGAATCTTTTTAGCATACCATCCATCCTATTGGTCTTAGATTTGGGAACAGGAAAATGGATATCATATAGGATGGAATAGCTTGGAAGACAAACTTGAGCAAGATTTCTTTTCCACCAGGGAAAAGAAGCAAACTTTTCCCATTCTCTACTTGGTTTTCCAACTTTTCCAGCAGGAACTTAAACATTTCTTTCTTGGATCTACCCCAGGACGTCGGGACACCCAAGTATTTAGAGTGAGAGAACTCATCATCGAAGTTCAACAATGCCTTGATATCTTGTCGTTACATTTCAGAAACATTGTAGCTGAAGAAAGCAGAAGATTTGTTAGTGTTTATCTCTTGCCCATTAA